TCATGGCTTCACTGAGTTACGCAAGCCCCTTCGCCACGACAAGGCAGTGATCCATGAGGGGTGTGATGCATAAGAACCTTCAAAACTATAAGATAACAATCCATGAAAGGGATAAAAAGTTATTAGAAGATAGGTTAATCTCCCAAAACAATGAAAGAGGACAAAAAGAAAGGCAATATGGAAGCTGTTTGGAACAGAGTGAGCAGAATTATAAAATACAACTGAAATGTATGGAATTACAGTAATGGGAAGGACAAAAAATAATACTTGGTACAATGAAGAAGTTATGTATTGGAAAAATGTAATTAAATGAATAATTGCTCCAAAAAATGTAATAAAGAAAAAAAAAAGTTGCAAAGAATGGAATCAAAGATAGCACATAACAGTCAAAACAAGAGAAAATGCAGAAAGGATTTTGCTGTAAATAAAAACTTGTTTTGGAAGTGGATGAAGAGGACTAAACAATGACCTCCAGCAGAATGAATTGAATTAAACAGAAGAGAACTGATTTGGCATGAAATTGAAATGAGGAAATGCTGAAATATTTTAGAGATTTGTATGGGAAGAAAAGTGAAATGTTGAAGAATGGTAGTGAAACAAATTCTATACATGTTAGTGTCAAAGACGAGATGGATGAAAAAGAAGTCACAATTGCTGTGAAAATGTTGAAAAATAGTAAGGGTGTAGGTGTGGATAGCATAATTGGAGAAATGTTAAAATATAGGTATGGTTTCTTATGGAGTGGATGTGCAACTAGTTTACATTTATGCCAAGACTGTATCTGTGTGCTTGATGATTGGAAGAATGCTGTTATTGTTTTGCTATACAAACGAAAGATAACAAGAGTGAATGCAAAAATTTCAGGAGAATTAGTTTGTCAAGAATCCCTGAGAAGGTGTTTGAAAGGATATTAGAGGTGATAATGAACAAAATTTGGGAAGTTCAGTGTGGATTTATGCCAGGCAGAGGTTATACAGAGCAGATTTCACTGTTCAGTAAATTACTGGCAAATGTATGAATATGAGAAATTTTATTGTATTTTTTAAATTTAAAGACAGCATCTGATAAAGTGAATAAACTTGAATGATATGTTTTGTGTAAGTACGGAGCTGAAGATTGGTAGCTTAATGCAATAAGAGTGATATACGACAGAAATAAAACTTGTGTGAAATTAATGGGATGTTTAACAAATGGTACATCATTGGGCAGGGAGTAAATCAAGGATGTGTGATATCCCCTGGCTGCTTAATATATTTGCAAATACTGTAAATGCATAACAAATTTAGTGGTGCCTGTTCTATCAGAAGTGCATTGGTTGGGGATATGAATATATGTGTACTTTTTATGCAGAAGATACTGCACTGTTGACTGAGAACCTGATGATTTGCAGTGATGCAATAAGGGATATGGTACCAGAAATGAATGTTTCAAAGATACAATAGCTGTGTTTGACAGGAATGAAAAAGTGAAAGATATACAGGAATGGCAAAAAACTAGAGCAAGTATGTGAATTTCTGTACTTTGGTAGACTGATGGGAAAATGAAAAATGTTTAAAATGGGGCTGGCAGAAAGGTAGTAGATAGTATGTGGCTTCTTGTAAGGAATTTTTGTCAAAAGATGAAAATATGTCTATGCATAACAGAGCACTTAACTGCTTTGTTATATTGAAGAGTTGGATGTGTCAGGACAAACATGAAAGTAAATAGAATGCGGTGGGACTGAAGTACTTAAGAAGTGTGTGTGGTAGAACAAAGAAAGGTAAGAATGAAGAATCAATGGGTGTTGAATGAATGTGGACTGAACAGAAAAGTGACTGTGCAGTGTAAAATAGATTCATCTGGTTTGGTCATACAGAGAATGAAGCCTGAGCTGCAAAACAAATATATGAAAGAGTAAATGAATTGAAAGGAAGAGATAATAAAGAAATTCACCGTTCAATGGAACTGATAATCCTGAAAAATTAGGATTTTTTTGTTTGTTTCCTTTTCTTATGTCATGCCTCTTTGGCTTACTATTCTTTTTAGCCCCCTTTCAGTTTTCTGCATAATACGTTATCTACCCGAAAAGATCATAGTAAATGCATGCAAATACACAAGATTCTTTTCCCAGGGTTACAATCTATGCATCTGAGGAAATAGATTATGAAAACTGATCTCAAAAAAGCTAAGCAGGGTCAGGTTATAAAACCCCACCAGGAAATCCTAGGGCGATAAACTAAGTTGGGAAGTCAACAAAACACCCCTGAAGAAGACAGTGACAATCCCTTCCGTATTACTGCCAAGGAACTGCATGGATTTGTCCTTGAAGTATCCTCTGAAAAGCTACTAGTGGCAATTTCTTTCTTTCTTTCTTTTTTTTAGACAGCAGAACGAAACACCCCGCGGCGACTCTCTTACGCCGCCCGTTCTCCCAGGTCATTACCCTCCAGCGCGCAGGCGCCGCTGCCTCTCTCATTCTGAGCGGCCGCTCTTCCCAGCTCGCCGCAGAATCTCTTTGAGGCAGGCGCCGCAGGACCGCCGGAGGGTGTTTTTGCTGGTGACGTAGAGGACGAGCGCAGTAGAGGTCGCGCGACGCTTCCACAGTGCGTTTCCGGGGCTGTGAGCTCGTGCGTGCGTGGTTTCCTGCTTCGAGCAGTAACTGCTCCTTAAGGCAAGCAAGCTACGGATGGAGCCTGTCTGTAGCACTGCAGGTAGGGGCAGTTGTTTCCCCTCCTATTTATGCACACGAAGCACAGTGTTGTGGAGGGCTTCTACAATCAGCAGCACCTGCCTTTCCCTCTAATGTGTTGTAATTCTGCTTTTATTTTTCTCTGCTTTTTATATTCCGCATTCTTCTTTACACTGGGGTTCTCCAGATAGGTTGGGGTTACAGTTCCCAACCTGCAAGGATAAAGACCACGCTGGGTAGGAATTCTGAGAGTTGTAGTCATCTCAGTACACCTGGAGGGCATCAGATGGAGAAAGACTGGGGGGAAGAGTACTGCGGTTATCAAGGCAATGCTTTGAAAGTTACATGATTTTCCTGGTAGGTGGATTTCCAGATTCGCTATCCCACTCTTGAAACTGTGGGTTATTGTTAAGTCATTAAAGATGGAGCTGTGTAATTGGCAGCCTTGCTCAGTAGGTACGTTTTCCTTCTTGGCTCTCAATTTCTGAGTGGTTTTAGTTCTCCCACATCTACTTCACTCTTGCTTCCTTATTGACAAAGATGATGCTGAAGAATGTTGATCAAGAAAGAATGTTCTCCTTTAAATTAGGTCAAAATGCAGTCCTTCTAAATAGTTTGTGTTCCCAAATGATCAGAATGCTTCACATGTATTACTTAATTGTTCTCTTTAAACAATCCAGTAACCTAATATAAAAAGAGCTCAAGGTTAGGAGTGGGAAGAGAGAGATTCTAAATCTATGTTAAAGCACTGTTTTTATTAGGAATCTCCAGGTTTACAGAATACTATGTAAACTTTTGAGTTTCTAAGGAAGGGATCTTCATCAGGTTAATTCCCATGCAGTGTAACTGAGGGTAATGGAGACTCAGAGATAATAGCTTTCTAAGGGAGGCAATGACAGATTGTTGTTGTTGTTTAGTCGTTAAGTCGTGTCCGACTCTTCGTGACCCCATGAACCATATTGTGCCAGGCCTTCCTGTCCTTCACTGCCTCCCTGAGTTTGCTCAGTTTCATGCTCAATGACAGATACATGTCTTAAACCAATACATTTCTGGTTTGTATGCCAGTATCTTAGCTTCTATGCTACAAATGCTCCTCAGTATTTATAAACTGTATGTTGTTGTGATAACACACTGAAATTGCAATATTAAGTAGAGACTGCTTTTACCTCCTCCTTGCTTTTTTCCCAAGTTGCTGCTTAGGATTTATTTATATGTTTTACTTGAATTTCATGGTACTTTTTCTCCAGTCCAGAATGCCATTGATGCAAGAAATAGCCTGTACAAAGCTAGCTTGGCAATCAGACAAACATACATAGGTAATGCTATAACCTGACTTGCACATTGTTCTAAGCTAGTGTTTTTCAAACTTGGCAACTTTAAGATCTGTGGACTTCAACTCCCAGAATTCTGGGAATTGAAGTTCACACACCTTAAAGTTGCCAAGTTTGAAAAACACAGTTCTAAGCTATAGTTTGTGTTGACAAAAGAGAAAATGTTGTATTATGGCTTGGTGCAAAGTGTGAACCAGTGTATTCCTCCATTTAATCTAATCTCCTTTGTTCTGACAGTGGCTTTTCAGCCAGAAATCTTCTTAGCTCCCTGTGACTTGATTCTTTTAACCAAGCATATGTGGAATGAACCAGGGACATTTTGCATTCAGAACATTTGCTTTGCTACAGGTCCGCTATCCTTTCTAGGCCTACAGTGGTCCTATTTGAAGTAGTAACATGTTTAGACTATTTTAACTCAGAATTTAATGATCTTAAGACCTATAATGAAGACTTTTAAGATGATAATATGGATTATTTTCTGCTTCAAAAGTGTTAAGGTAGCTCTGGAATATATTTGGAAGCCTATTTGCCCATTCCACAGAAATACAGAAACTTTTGGAGCATAAATAGGCCATATAGGTAGCCTTGTTTAGAGACTGCAATTAGAACTGGCAACTCAGTCATTAAGTGAAGCGGTTGCTAAGTGAAAAATAATGTGACTGTGCTTACGATTTTATACAGGACGGTGCTTACTAACTGTAATGGCAAACACATGACAGAGATAGATGCTGCAAAGGTCATAAATGTGCTCATTGGTCACAAAGTTCCTTTTTCATCATTGTTGAAACTGCAAATGGTTGCTGTCCAGAGCAGTCGCTAAGTGAGGACTGTCTGTACTTGATGTCTGTGAGATTAGCAGAGTGACATAAAATACAAAGTAAATGGAGCCATGACAGAGGAATAGATGGGGAATAGATTTTTAGCCCCCCCCCCCTCAATTTCTGGTTATAACATTTCAAAATGTTCTGTTCATGTCATTTTAGGACCTTTTTGGGAGTTTCATGCCTCAAATGATGGGAACCTGCACTGGCTTTTGACAGTCATGGTTGCAGGGAGTTCCAGGAGTTGAAAAGAAAGTGGGGGGTGGGGGCTTAGGCCATTTTTTCCCCATTATCTAGCCTTGATATACGTAGGTATGCATAAGATTCTGGATTGGCTTGAATTTTTTGTATGTAGTATGAAGCATTGAATATTAGCTGCATCATGCATATTCCACATTAACAATTGTTAGTCAAACAAAAAGATGACACAAATATATTCTTCTGGAACAAACCTGAAAATAGTTGAGTTGAAAATCAGATCTACTGATATTTCTGTGGGCTCCACTTATGTCTATGTGTTTTGCTTGTAAGTTATTTTATTTCTGTTTATATGCAACCTGTAACAAGGTCTAAGAGCTGGAAATGTGCTTAAACCTTTGTTTAAAATATTCTCCCAGGCCTTTTATGGTTGGTTTAGATATTCTACATAACATTATAAAGCAAACCTGTCTTAAAGTTTCACAAATGTTAATGCTGATTTTGCTTTGTATATCAGTGCTTATTAACAGAACAAATTGAACAAAATCCCAAAGCTTATCAAATGCAGTTACCAAGCTTACTTTTTTAAAAATTGAGAAGAGGAGCTGGGAGGGGAACAGGCAGAAGCTGGGACTGCAGGAGGTAGAGGGGAAAAAGTTTAATAAAGTTCTTATGTAAAAGGTCTCCTGGAAGTTGCTATTTATGTAGCGAGGAAAGACTCCATTATTACTAGTAGAAGTATGCTTTCCTGTGCAAATAGCGGCTTCACAAGTTGATTTTTGTCAGGGCCATGTGTAAAAGAGATATTTTTTTCTTGTCTACTCACTGCAACTTTAGTTGCTGTTTAAATACTAAAACTGCACATTAATTGAATTCCTGCAGTTCACAAGTCTGTTTGGCTTATTAAGCAGTAGGATATAGAATAAATAATCTATGGGAAAAACATGGAATCATTACATCTTTTAAATATCTTGTAAGGAGCTCTCTAAACCTTACATGATAGATGCTCCATACTTCCCAGTTATTTTGGGAAACAGCTTCTTCCTGCTTCCATACTTCTTCTCATTTTATTTTAGCTCCAGGAAGGGATGTTCTGAGTCCAGTTTACAAAAGCTAAAGTAAGAGGTTTATATCCACCCTGTCTAAAACAAAGATAATTCAACCTAAATTTGGCTTGAAACTGGTTTCAGATGAACAACAAACTCTGACTAGGATTAAACTTGGAGAAAACCCATGCTAGTTCTTAAACTGACTTCTAGCACCTGAACCATACACCCTCTACCTGTTGAACATGCTGATTTCATTCCTCTCTCTTCTTCCCATCCAGATTCTAGAAGCATGTTTTATGTTCATCACTTAACTCACATGTTTATCTGTTTTGATTTTCCCTACTGCCACAGTGTCATACAGTGGGTACAAAGCTTCTGTCTCATGTTTTCACTTTCTCTATAAAAACATTTTATTTTTGTGGAGCTCTAGATGCCACATTCTGTTGAGGAGCATTCTCACCTGTGGCTGGTGATGTGCTAATAAGTGTACGACTGATACATAGTTGTTGGAGAGCATACTCCTGGGACTGATCTTTGTAACAGTGATGCATCCTGAAAAGCTTGTTGGGCATGGCAATGTTAAACTCTATAAGTGACTGCCATTACCACTTTATCTTTGCTGTCATGCATATCTCTGTTTGATATTGCAGTGGATGTGGCACTCCTTTATCTCTTATGTGTCTCTTACAGATAGAAAAACATTTTTCTTTCGAAAACATTGGTGAATACATGGTGCATTACAAACTAAAGTGCTCAGTAATCTGAACATTTCCTGTAATTTGCTTACTGATCTGGGTAAAAGCCCCAGTAGTTAGTTGGGGGCACTCTGCGCCTTTCCTACCCCCACCCCCACCCCATGTTCCTTTGCTATCTCAGGAACTTATGATTTCCTTAAATAATATTTTTCCAGCTTTGCTTAATTAGCATGTTATACTACTTCTTGACTGGTCTGCATAGTTAATACTATAGAAGTGTGCAAAATGTTTCAAGGTCAAAACGTTTCATGAGTACCAGAAATGTATGACTTTGGAATGGCTATTTTGACCTTGAAATAGATTGTGGTAGCCTGTTTTGAGGTTGAGCCACTTCTGGTACATGCAGAATGGCCAGTTTGGAGCTCAGATTATGGTGTTCCAAGATTGCAATCCTTTGACCACAAAATGTTTTACGTACATGCTTCAATAGTGATATGCTTTAGATTATGTATTAGAGTGAATTCTTCAGTTGGCTCCTTGGAAAATACTTTGATATTGAGAAATGCAACAGCAGATAACTTACATTGACAACCCTGATCATATGTCACTAATACTAATTTTACTTCTAGATCTTTTTTTTTTTTTTCCTATTTCTGTAGAGCTAAAATAATGGAAGGAAGTCTCCCTTCTGTGTGGAACATATTAGAACAGCTATGAAGTCCAGATCACTCTTTTCCAACTTGATAATTTTTAGTTGGGTTAATCTAAAGAACTATTCCCAGTGAGTAGGGTTATGGGAGATGTAGCCCAGCATCTTTGAACTATAACTGCCTTATATTCTAATACCTTTGGAGGGCAAGAGTATGCGAATCATCTATATCCTAATAGTGTGTTTGTTCTCTAACTGTGGAACTTTGCATATCCATAACAACATTCATATACAAGTACAGAGATGCATACGTAACCTTTGGAGAGGCCAAGGATTATGGTGGGAGGTAGCCCTTGATATTTGGATAGCATGCTGGAGGTGGGCAAGGCAAAAATTAAAGTTGATTTAATTAAAATTAATTAAAAATAAATTAAAATTATGTGTGTTCTATGTTCTCTTGTGTTCAGGTGCTTCTTTTGGAAACGCTCTGGAATTTGCAATTAAGGTTTCGTGAAAGGCAACATGTAGCCCTAGATCCACAGATTGTACATCCTGTACATTTTGCAGATATCAGTAGTGCAAAGCACAAAACAAACACTTCTGCACTTCCAAACAACAGCTGAGTTAGGACTAGATAGGTATGTTCAGTGGATTGATTGCTGAGGATTGGGGTGGAGAAAGTTGAGAAAAAGGAATAAGTGACATATAGAGATAGAAGGACATATTTTTGAGGAGCTCTGGTCCTGAACAAGAGTACTTTAACCTGAAACATTTGGTATAAATATGGTTAGTATTACACTAAATTAAGCTAATTTAAACCCTTGAGATTTTGATAGATCTAGTTTAAATTCAAATCCATTAACTGACATTTCCCTACACAGCTTCAATATTGAATTTGAAAGGAAAGTAAATAGTCTTGATAAAGCTTTTTTCATTAGTACAGTATTTATTAGTATTAGAATATGATACAAAAAGTTAACTTAGCATCTCTGTGATTGGGGGTCAGTTGACATATTGCTTTACATGGAGTGGATGTATGCAGGGTTGCTAATTCTTTTTAACTAATATTTAACACAAGGAGAACTTTCATCAAAGTTGCAACATGAAAGGATATTTAACCCTTTTCTTGCCAGCTGTGATTCCCCACACTTTCCCTTCTATCTCTGTACCCTAGTTATTGTAGTTTCCTTTAGTTTCTGTCTTACAGGCTTGCCTGATCTCTCATTTCTCAGCTGAAACTATTTGCAAAAGTAAGAAATAATGCTTTATTTATTTTTCTTTTGATTATTCTTGTTCAGTTTTATATTTGAGCTGTTCAACATATACCATTGCTTTGTTTGTATAGTTGCTCTCACTCTCTAATCATATTTTTACATTTATTTCATCAATTGTTATAGAATTAGTTCAGAATCTGATTCTCTACCTACAAGAATATAAGCATTGTGACTTTTTTAGCAAACATGCTTGTCAGAATTCTCATAATCCAGTACTGCTATATTGCAAGAACACATGAGCCCCAAAGCAAAATGTAAGATAACAGATTCAGCCAGTGAAAAAGGTGAAAATTGACTTCAAGGTGATGATAGCATAGTGAGAAGTTAAAGCTTTGAATTTTTTTCCCCTGGTAGTGTCATCCTTACTCTCTCTCTCTCTCTTAATTTGAATTGATGCAAATATAAAGTAGTGAAATCTCAAAATTTAAAACTTAAGTATCATAGAAATATATGCAATTTTCTGAAGAATTTTAAGCCTAGAAAATGAAACAAACTGCTTAGAACGCGGTTCTGTTATCGTTATGCATTTGGAAATCTCACTGAGTTTAGTAGAACTTACTCCCAAGTCAGTTTGGTGTAGTGGTTAAGGCATCAGGCTAGAAACCGGGAGACTGTGAGTTCTAGACCTGTCTTAGGCACGAAGCCAGCTGGGTGGCCTCGGGCCAGTCACTCTCTCTCAGCCCCAGGAAGGAGGCAACGGCAAACCCCTTCTGAAAAGTTCTTGCCAAGAAAACTGCAGGGACTTGTCCAGGCAGTCTCTGAGAATCGGACACGATTGAACAGATAAAAAAAAGACCAAAAAAAAACTCCCGAGTAATTGTGCATAGCAATTCACCTCGGTTTCATAATTGTTAATCGAATAAATGCTCAACTCTAATAAAGCACTGAAATTTCAAACAAGACCATTCTGTTCTGCTGCTGTGGCCAAAGTAAACAAGCAAACTACTCAGATGGTACCCAGTATCTAAGAGAGCTGCATCGTGCTTCCACTAAAAAATTCCTTGTAAAGCTTTGGGCATGTAGATGTGATGAAGCGCTACTTTGATAAAATGCTTCTTTATCTCAGAAGTTGCCATGAAGACAGGTTTGGAAATCAGTCCATCTAAGTCCACCAAGTTTTATTGGTCTACTTGCTCACATAATTATTAAGAATATGTAACATATGAATGTCTTGACAAAGAGAAGAGAACAAGGATCAGCTAATTATCCATAGGTATTCCTTTCCCACTACAGATGACTAAAAAGCTAGTATATGTAACCTGGTTAAAATTTTCAGAAGTGAGTCAAAAGTCCTAACTTTATTCAAATGCAGTCTAATTTCAATCTATGTTAAAAATGCATCCTGCTAAAAGAGGAGGAAACAAAGCAGCTACCTGGTACAATGGAATTTCTTCTAAAGGATGCCATAATATAAATTTCTTATAAAATAGCTTAAAATGAGACTGGCTAGAAATTCTGTGGGTACTGATCAAAACCTATCATTCCCTGCCTCATTCTTATAATAATAAGTTGGTTTTTAATAAAGATATAGAAACATGACATTTCATAGCTTATCTTTTCATTCCTCCCAGTGAATCATAAACTGCAACTTACAGTATATTCTGTTTGTTTGAAAGAGGGAGTAAAATGGTTATAACATCTATCTAAGGAAGAGTCCTTATCTCTGAAGTAGAGCATATGCTTTCATGTTGGAGGTTTTAGCTTTAGAGTCTTCTGGTGCTGTGGTCTTCAGTTAAAGAAACAGGTAGCAGGTAATATGACAGATTTCTCTCTGGAAAACTACTCTTGGTCAGAAATAACCTGTCTTCTTCAAGATGCTCTCCCTGTGCTCTCCAGATGTTGACATTTTGATCTGGTATAAGATAGCCTCTAGGGCTGCTTTCATCAAGTGATGTTCTCCATATAGTAAGGGACTTCAACTCCTAGATTTTGAAGCAGCCAAAGACATATCTGGCAGTCATCAGAAGAAGTTTTCTGGCCTCCTGCATTATAGGTTTGGAAATTAAGAGTTGTAGTTGCTGTTGTTCTTTTCATTCAGTTTTTCTCAGCTTTTCCTTCAATAATAGCTTCAGTTATGATGCATGCTTCTGCCTGTATCATATTAACTGAAGTAATGGAAAGGGTCTGAGTAGTAGTTTCAGCTTTTGTTGTATCTAGATATAATTCTGTACTAAAAAATAGTTATTTTTATTTTATCTTTTTAGTATATTTATTGAGCTATAGTCCTGAAAACTCTATTTTTTGTGAATAGTCATGAATCTAAGTGATACAGTGATTAGAGTACTGTAGTAGAATTTGATTGGCAAGATCACAGTTAGATTCTGCTTGCTAGTTAGATATAGTGAAGCCAGGAACTGTGCGAAGATAAAATGGGATTATCCTAGCCGGTAGCCTTCTTGGATATATTATTTACAAATATAGTGGGTAGTAAAATTTGTATTGATGATATCAGTGAGACTTCTGAATTGCTAAATGAAACTCATGATAAATTAAAAGTAGCTTAAAAGTCTATAATGGAAGCTTATATTTATTCCTTGTTCAGAACTTCAGACTTCATATGTCACATCTAAAGAGCATCTCATTTTTTGAAATCAGCTGTGACTTTTATCTAAGGATGGAAATATTATGTATATTTTTTTTCTTGCAGGGGAACCAAAGCTCAGACATGTAGAAAAGGATATTTTGATTCCAAAAATAATGAAAGACAAAGCCAAGGAGCTATGTTCTGAACAAGTGAAAGGTGAGAGTGAAATTCAGCTATATATCAAATCTAAGAATTTATGTGACCTGAATTCTAATTTTTTTTTGGCCAGATTGCCACAGTAGCAGTGAATGTATGTGTATTGTAAATTCATTATTATGTAGGATGATGACAGGTTTAAATAATTTGTCAAAATAATTTGCTTAGTTGTAACTAGGACTAGTGAATTCTTCAATGTTTCTATCACTCAAAGTCTTAATTTTCCAACCAAACTTCATTCTGTCATTTCCACTTCAGGTTGTGAAGGTTGTAGAATCAACCTTCTAATTCAAAAATTCACGTACATTTTCATGCACGTTTCTAATATTATTTTATATGCACTTTTCATTGCATGCACACAATGTATTTTACCTAAGAGATGCATTGTTTGTGCTTGTGTTCATAATATATGTATGGGTATGTAGGTGTGTATCTGGAGTTGTGAACAGCATTCTCCAAAGTGCAGATTTCAGCATGTGTATCTGTTCCAGTTGATATATCAATTTGGAACATTTGAATTGGCTAAATTTATATCAAAATGACCATGGAACAAATTTCTTCATGGGGATGTCAATGGGGATGTCACCTTGAAGAATGAAGTCTGGAAGCCATAATGGGAAAAGATAACACAAAATAAATATAGTAATAGCTATAACTATATTTAGTAGATTAAATAAACCATGTTTATGCTGGTAACTTTGTAAATTGCCATTAAAACTAGAGATTGATACTGTAACAAGCACTTCTAACAAACAGACTTTTAGCGATTCCCTTTATTGTCAGAATATACTGCTTGGCCCAACTTTGTGTGGTGCGCCAGTTACACCCTTTTGTGGATCAGGAGGCTCTCTGGTCAGTGACTCATGCCCTGGTCATCTCTCAGTTAGACTATTGCAATGTGCTTTACATGGGGCTACCCTTGAAGAGT